TATTTCCTAGACAAAAGTTTTTCAATCCATAATTATGTGTTATGTTTCCTAATATTTTTCTCTCAATGTAGAATGTAAGAACCTTAGGGTAGGAACCTAGCCAATGTTCAACCCTTAGCAAAGAGTGTTGCCTGGAACACATAATGCATAGAGAATACGTTTTAAAATAAATAAACAGTAATATTCCACGTGAATATCAAAACCTTGGAAATACATATTATTTACAGTAGTGAATATGCCAGAGTCACCTGCCTAAGTCAAGCAAAGCAACACAAGGGCTATTATATGATTCGGAATCATCATTTAACCATCTTGCATGGAGAAGGAATTCAATAACTATTTAATAAACAGGTGAAATAAACAACAATAGCCAATTTTACAGCAGTGTAGGAAATAAGTATCGATGATAGAGTTGGAAATCTCACCCAGAAATATCAATAAACTGGAATTTATACCATCAAGAAGAGGTACTCATCAAGAAATTCTAGTCCAAATCTGCCATTTTCATTAAAAATTCAATTTCCAGAAAAACTATGCATTTTCAGGTTGTCTTTACAATTTCCTCAGTTACAAAAGTAGTCTTTCTTCAGATAATGCATAACTCCACATATGTGGAATCTTGAAAAACTGATCTCCTAGAAGTTGAGAGCAGAAAAGTGGTTACCAGAAGGTGGGAAGTGTGGGGAGTCATGGGCTAGGGAGAGGCTGGTCAAGTACAAAGTTATAAGTAGACAAAGGAACAAGTTCTGGTGTTCTAGTGCACAGTGGGTTGGCTATAGTGAACAATAATGCATGTTCAAAATAGCAAGAGCTATTTTCTTACCACATAAAAATGACAAATGTTTAAGGTAATGGATATGCCAATTTGATCATTCCACAGAGTATACAGGTATTAAAGCATCACATTGTATCTCATAAGAATGTACAGTTATTATGCATGAATCAAAAAATTAAAGCAGTCTTTTTCTTTTATATTAATATCAGAGGGTCTCAGCTTCTACTGACACATGTTCCAACATCTTATGGCTTCCATAATTACAGAGTTAGATTTTATAGCCAAACTGAAGATTTTGTTGTGTGTATTCTTTTTGGTTAATAACAATGCTATTTATGCTTGCAGTTTTTATACTAATACTTAGCTATCATAATAACAGTATGAATTCTCAAAGTATATAATATATTTACCTAAAATATGTAGAATATCAGATGTAGAATATCACTCTATGTTTACAGAGTGAAAGTGTTGCTATATAAAAGAGCCCTCAGTATTGAATAAATATCCTGACAAAGATGGATAAACATAAGCAATAAGCCTGGACCTATGAAAGGCCACTCTGTTGGATGACAATGCTGATATTTATCAAGTACTTACTTCACACTGGGGACCACTTTGCCAGCTTTCCATGCATCTACTCAGTAGATCTGAAAAATACCTGAACAGGTAAGCTCTGCTGTTAACCTTATTTTGCAAATGAGAAAACTGAGGCACAAAAATCTAAGTGACAGTTCCACAGGGACAATGCCTGTAAATGGTAAAATCAGGATCCAATTCCAGGTAGACTTTTCCAGAATCTGTACTCTTAGCAAAAAAGTAATACTGTAAACTCTGAGGCATTAGCTGAGCCGGTGTTTGTCCAGGTGTATGTATTCCAATGCGATTGATGACTGATTCCCTTTCAGTGAACCTTCTCTCCAAACATGAGACTATGAACCACCAATGTCAGTCAGCCCTGATCCAGTGCAGAGAGCATATCTGGACTGCCCTTAAGAGTCCTAAAATGCATACACTACAATGCTCCAAAATGAATGCAGAAAATGGGGTGGTCTTTCATCACATCAACAAAATCTATTTTTGAATTTTTTTAAAAAAAGGAAGAACAGAACCCTCCTATAAGACTACTTTAATTTTCTCCCATTTTTCTTTTTTATGCTGCACAAATTAATCTTCTGCTGACATTGGTGTATCTTTTCTTCCATTGCATCTGCACACATTTATCTACAACATCTCCTTCCTGGAAAAACCGCATCTATCTTCATTTCCTCTTTCAAAAGCCTAATTGAAACCCATTTCTTCTAGGATGTCATTTTCTGACAGAGATTAGAAGGAATACAGTGGATAAGTCTACAAGTGTAACATGAAATATAAAAATTGTTTATTTATTTGCCCTGGGAAAATCATCTCTCTTCTTTTATTATTTAGGCCATTCTTCTCACTCTCCTAGTTTAACAGCAGCATCTGCTCTTAAATTGGAGTTTTGATATACAAACACCTCAGTGTCAGAAGACTTTCTTGTAATTTATTTCCATTTGCTGTAGGCAAGAAAAAACAAAATCCTGTGTGTGATTAATCATATTTTTAAATGCTTCTCTAATAGAGAAAATTAGGCATTTCTTAAAATTTGCCATGTATTAGAGCTTATCACTCATTGGCTGTGGTTGAGCTGGAAATTCATTTTATAGTTTTAGATGAAAAAAAAAACATGTTTTGTTTAAAAACAATGGATACATGTCATTATAATGTATCAAACCCATACAGGATACAACACCAAGAATGAACCTAACTTGTGCTCTGGACTTGGCGGGGATGTTAATGACAGAGGTGGCTGTGCCTGTGTGAGGGACAGGGTGTAAGTGGGAACTCTGTACTTTCCATGCGATTTTGCTGTGAACCTAAAACTGCTCTTAAAAAAAACTGTCTAAAACCAAAGACAAGCTGTGCATGTACAAAGCAAGATAAGCGACAATTATTTTAGCACCTATATTTTTACTATTACCTGGAAAGTCTTTGCTACGCATATTCAATTACCTGTAATCACAGGTATCACAAACCTCCCTAATAAACTGGGTCATTCAGACACTTGCTGGAAACATGAAATAGCATCTATAAAGTTCAAAGTGAGTTGTTCTGCAGCCCTCCCCTCAGCAAATTTCTATTAAAATCAAAGATATTTTCCATAGCTTTGTCTTTTACTAGTAAAGCAAAATTATTCCAAAAACAGTAGTTCTCACCTTGGCTCAGGTCAGAGTCACCTAGGAGATATTAAAAATCTTGACAACCAGGTCACACTAGAGGTCAATTAAACCTTGGAGGCAGGACTTGGGTGGCAGTATATTCTAAAGTCCCTAAGGTATTCTAAAATACAGCCCAGAAATACAGGGAAAACATCAGTGATCCTGTTTGCATGGGGCAAGAACTAATATGTCCAAACTGAATGGTTGTGCTCATCTGTAACTACTATCCATCTGTGGACTCGATTTTTGAATGGCCTACAGCCAATGAAGCTGTCACAAATGATGTGGAGATTAACACTGAAGGATAAAGGTGAAGAGATCTAGCATATGTCTCTCATGATTCTGTTTCTTATTAGGGAGACAAAAAAAAAGGAAAGAGCAGTGTGTCATGGAGTTGCCAGATTATATTTTCAGAATCCACAAGCCTGTAGATTTTTGCTTCATTCCACCCATCCAGATTCTGATAAGCATTTCCAGAATAGGAGATGGTGGGTATCTGTGTCCTGGTAATGTTGATATCCCATTCTGCATTTAGAGATGGGAAGGAACACAGAATGATTTTATTTCTCATCTTCTATAAAATCAGACATTATATTTTCATTGTTTTTTTTTTACTTTTATATGTGCCACTAGATATGTGCCCTACTTGCTCCCAAATTAAAAATTTGTGTAATTAGAAGTTATTTTTTTAATAAATGGAATGAAAATGATGATTCTTACCTTCTCTGACTTTGGTACCTCCAAGGACTATTGCAGATATGCCAACAGAAGATGACAGGAGCCAAATACAGATATTGATGATCTTTGCCTTCAAGGGTGTGCGGAAATCCAAAGCCTTCACAGGGTGGCACACAGCTATGTAGCGGTCCACACTCATCATGGTCAGAGTGAATATGCTGGTAAACATGTTGTAGTAGTCAATGGAAATGACTATCTTGCACAGCACATCCCCAAAAGGCCAAGAATTCATAAGATAGACAGTGCTCTGGAAGGGCATGGTGGTAGTAACTAAAGCATCCGCCAAAGCCAGGTTAAATATATAGATGTTGGTCGCTGTCTTCATCTTTGTGTATCTAGAAGACAAGAGGCAATAGCATTTTTATCCATCTTTTAAATCAAAGTCATAAGGTGAATGTGCTTGTGACTGCTTTGGGTTATTAATTTTGCCTACTTATTCTTTAAATATCATTGTGTAAATCTAGAAGGAGTATTCCAGACAGTTTTCAGAGTAGTTGAAAACTGGGAAGAGATCTCTGAATTTATTGAGTTTTTTATTTTAGAGGTTTTTCTTAAAAATATTTTAATAATAAAAATTATTTAAAATATTTAATAAAAAAAGATAATGAAGGTAGCATGGGTAGGTAAATAGATGAATATGTAGATCTTTTCAACAGAATTGCACTTAGTAAAGGTCTTTATTTTGTGACTGACAATTAATTCTAATTTGAAAGAGGTGTTTGACTTTTAGCATGTTAGACACTTTATCCTTTTCCCTTCATTAGGTAAAACAAAGGTAAAACATTTCTCCTCAAAGTTATTTTTAAGAAATTAATCATTGTAATTATCCTATCTTTTGAACATGAAAAAAATGGTTTTTGATTCTTATAAATGTCCAATTGCAAAGTCTAAAACAAAATTAGATTTGTTGGTTTTTGTTTTTCAGCATGTCACTAGCTTGTCATTTTAAGTGTATTTTATAAATAAATTGGGCTGAGTTCTCTTACACATATCACAGCACTTCTGTAGCAGAGGAGAAATAAATCCATCTCTACTCCAATCTCAACAGACCTTTTTTTTTTTTACAACACATACTTGTCTCATCTTTAAATGAAGGAGACAGTAATTTTCAACATAGGTCTTAAAGATTGCCTTTAAGTCCAAATTATTTATATTATAACAAAAGTTTAGAGCAATTCCATTTTCACTTAAAACTAAATTTTGCTTATTTTGCTTGGAGAATGCTTCTTCCAAAATCCATACAGCATTAAGAGACCAAGAGGTAAAACCATTGCTTTCTACACACCTCAGATGTCGTAGACCTTCTCACAGTTAATTCATCTGGGCCCCCTTCTCTAAATATAAATTTCCACATGAGAAACATCTTTTAAAATTCAGTGAGAGAGCAACCCTGGCTTCCCTTAGTGGCAGAACAGTCTAACATGAAGTCCTACTGTTCTAAGTCTGAACTCACTATGTGACTTGCTGAGTTTCAGTTCCTGATAAATAGGGACAATAAAACCTAACTGGCAGTTCATGAGATAAGGGCAGCCGATGGCTTGACTCATAGGATCCCACTTCACCCCCAGAGTCATGCCCACGTTCCCCATCCAATCCCCCTCTCCCTTCTCATTGTGTTAGGAAGTAGATACACTCATAGTTGGATGGAAAAGCATTGTAAAGGCTGAGTTGGTGTCCATTTCAATGTTCTGTTACTAAAAGAGTGATTTAATCTAGAAAATAAGTACTCTATTTAAAAATATGTTTTTCGTATCAAGCAAGTATTTCAACTCAGAGCCAAAAGTTTCTAATGGGGAAGACTGAAATGTGATTTCCTCAGATATTGTCTTCTTAAAAATGTGATTCTATTAAGAATTGTAATGCGAAATAAATAAATAATAAATAAATTTTAAAAATGTGATTCTATGTTTGAAAAAAAAATATAGCTTATACACCTATCTTGTACTCTTTCAACTTTCTCCCACTCCCAACACCAAATTCCTGCTACTGACCAAGATTCCACCAGGCAATACCTTTGGTGCCTACTCTCAGATTTTGTGACCTTTATATTTCCCTCTTTCTTATGAAGTTAGACTACCAGTCCTTGCTTTATAACGTTAGGGAAACCTGGGTTCAAGTCTTTATTTTTCCTTCCAACAATATGTAGATTTTAGAGGGTCATGTTAGTGTTTAGTGTTTCATCCCTATAACGAATAACTGAAGTAATCAATTTGTAAAGGGAAAAGGCTTATTTTGGCTCACAGAGACTGCAGTTCATAACTGGCCGACCTCTTGCTCTGGGTCTGCAGCAAGACAGTGCATCATGGCAGGAGGACATGGCAGAGCAAACTGCTCACCTCACCACCAGTACAATGAGTGGGCTGGGAACCGGCAGTCCTTTTCCAGAGCACACCACCAATGACCAGTCCTCCTACTAGGTCCCACCTCTTACAGGCCCCACTACCCTCCCAGTAGTACCACTCTGAAGATCAAGCCTTTAACAGATGGACTTTTGGAGACATTCAAGATCCAAACTATAGGAGGGGCTCACTGTCCACCTTGAGCCTCAGTTTCTCCAATTATAAAATAGAAAAATATAATGTTTATCCCATAGAGTTCCAGAAATAATCAATGAAATGCATATGATCCAAAGAGCATGTATAATTTAGTTTTTGTTCTCAAACTCATCCATGTGGTTGGAGGCCACCAGTTAGCACAGCAAACAGAGGACTGTAGTTATAGGTAATGCTCATGATCAGATTTACCCAATTCAGTGTGAATATAAAAGATAGGAGTGAAAGTGAAGACTGAGACCCGATACACTGGAGAAAAACTGACAGAATCATACATAAAATAAAACAGATCTTAAAGTAATCACAAAATGTTTAAAGGTAGTTTGCTTTTAGTTTTTTTTTAGGTATTTATAAGCAATAGATGTCTAAAACTGAATAAAAATTGACCTTATACAGAATTCAAATCCTGTCATCCAGTCTTAGAATGAGAAATATGAGCATGGACAACAATCATAATAACCACTTATTTCAAAAAGCTCCCTGTCTCAGGCACTGTTCATACAGTCCACAGACTTTATCTCATTTAGTCCTCAGAGTAACTCCATATGGTAGATGTTCATATCCCTGTTCTATAGGTTAGACAACTAAGAATCACAGAATTTCCTCAAATATCCTCATGGTTAGCTGGGTATAGTGGCACACACCTGTCATACCAGCAGCTCAGAAGGCTGAAGCAGGAGGATCACAGATTCAAGGCCAGACTTAGTAGCTTAGCAAAGCTGTAAGCAACCTAGTGAGATCCATTTCAAAATAAAAAAAGGGTGAGGGTGTGGCTCAGCAGTTAAGCACCCTTGAGTTCATTCTCTGGTACCAAATAAATAAATAAATAGAATTCTCAGAGTTATAAAAGGCATAGCAGAAATTCAAACCCATCAATCTCCAGTACTTTATAATTGAGTGTAGTATCTTGACTTTCATGTGTCTTACTTGATTCTCACAACAAATTCCCTTCTAGTTGGCATTTGAGATGTATGACTTTTCCCTCATGGATCCGAAGAGTTCCCCACAGGTAAGTTAGGTGCTTTGTCATGAGAGGTGGGACCTCAGTGGGAGGAACTTGAAGGGGTGTCATGTCAGGGCAAAACCTCCCTTCCAGAGTTCTAAAGACACATGCTTATAAACCTACATCACTGGAAGAGGAGAAATTCCAGGTATAACTAAAAGTGATGAATAAACTATGTGTTCCATCAATACTTGCTGATGATCTCTTAGGGACTACCTGGGACTGAATCCTGTGAACATGTGAATCTAAAAGTAGACCTTTACCCTCAGAGACAATCCAGGTGAGCCTTCAGGTAATTGTTTATAGTTAGCCACAAAACATGAGTCGGTTCTAACTCTATGTCATTCACTGTACATCCACTGGTGAAAAAACAAGGTAGCTTTGTGGCTCTGATAGGAGATGACCGTATTTTCTATTTCATCCATGTGGCTTTACAAAATTTCTCAAGCATTTCAAGTAAAATGGCACCATCTGGGTGGGAAGCTTTGGCTTGTGTGGAAAACCTGGAGGTGGGTTGGCAGCAAGTGGCTGCACTTTTTAAGCATACACACCGCAGGAGCATATGGCACTAAAAGAGCAAAGTCTGGGGGCTGTCCTCACTAAACTTGAGAATGTTACAAATCAAAGTACAATGCACAGGATGAGGTGCAAGGGGCAGGTCAGGAAAAGGGGTCAACCTGGGAGCGGGGAAGTGTGAACCTCAGGGGAAGAGTGTTTCAGAGAGGCGAAATGCTCCCCCAGGACATCTTAGTGTGTTCTCTTTATAGAGAATGGGGTCGTGGCTTCTAATGTGACATCCATAGGCGCTTGTGTGATGGTAAGAGGACCAAAGTTATCTGCTGATGTGTCAGGAACAAAGGTCATCAGGCAGAGTTCCTGGGAGATGTGACACTTGCCATGCTAGTCACAGGGTCCATAAGGAGAATCTCTGTCCTTATGACTCAGTCATGAGGGCTTCTTGTCCTTTTCCATTTGCTTGCTATGGTCCGTCAACACACAGGAGGAAGAGATGATTAGTGAATCATTGGCCTCCTTTGCTGTCTATTGCATGAGCTTGGTTTTTGTTTTGTGATTTCAATGATGCTTCTTTAATCAGGAACTCTATTTCACCTTCACAACAATAGCACAATAAGCCTTTAATCTTGATGACTGATCACCAGCACACATTCAGCTTTATTGATTCCTGTTATTTTTAGCCTTTACCTCCAACGTGCCCCATGTTTCCTTACACACACCCTCTCGTCTCTCTCCATTTATATTCACGTTCCCTCCTCTGTCTTCATGTTCTTTCAGTGCCTACCCCACAGACAGCAACATGTTATCATTTGAGGATGACTGAAAAATAAAATCGACATTCAAACTCAAATTATATACAAATTCAAATTATCATCTGCACTAAAGAAAGAAGAGAGAGATCGGTGAAATCAGGACATATTTGAAAGAAGAGAGGATGTGGCAGGACCTTCAACTTTGAGAAAGATTTGAATAGAGAAGCTAGTGTCTCCTTCAAGGATGGGTGAGAAAAGGGATTTCCGGGTTCAGGGATGCTGCTGAGGATTGGGGGCAGGTGTGACTGGATGGGAACAGTATATTGGGTCCCAGAAGACCTTGAACTCCAAAGGACAAAAATCATTTTAACATTTATTATTTCTTATGTCACAGACACTATTTCAGAAACTTCTTTTTATTTGGCAAAGTTGTCATGATGATCAAACAGCACACACAGAAAATTACTTAGCAGTGGGGCTGGTCCTTGACAGTTGTGCAGTGGGTGCTAGAC